CACATTATGATTGGCTGATACCAAACCCAATTTAGCAGCAAACAAAAGGCCCAATTTGGAAAGTCCTTCTTTAAAAGTGTAGACTTTCCATGTTGGGCCTTTTGTTTGTTGATAAATTTGATTTGCTATCAGCCAATCGTAATGTGATTTTGCTTGTTTTAAATGTAAAACTCACTTGATTTTTAATTAATACTTAATTCAAGGAAATCTTTCTTTAAGCAAACTAAGAAATCTGCCAGTGGTGTGAGCAAAATATCTTATTTTCAGATTGAAGTAGGATTATTTTGCTTGCTTTAAGGAAAAACTCACTTACATTTGAATGATTTCTTGAAACAAAAACAATAACTTTTCACTTTTCTTGCTGATTTGTAGATATTTAGACTAAAAACAAGACAAAAACGAGGAAGAAAGGCATATACCTGCAATGTAAAAGTCTTCACAAATTAAATGTTGATGTAACATTCATTTTATTGCTTCTCACGTATCAGAAAATTTAACTTTTACTTGTTATATCGAATGCATAAATCTGGGGAATTAAGCAAAGGAATATCCACCATCACAACAACAGTCTCTAAAAACAAGCACACAGTGAGCAGAATTTCATCTAAACATGACTAAATCAATGTCTGATAGTCAGTCAAACAAATAACAAGTAATCACAGCAATATCTGCACATCCTCAATCCAACAAACGACAACAAAACCAGCCAGAGCAAATCCCCCAGAAGACCAAACCAGCAAACATCATTAATATGAACAAAAGACCAAAGTTTTACCTGTTCAGAAGGATATTTACATCCGTTAGTTCCAAAAACAGCCTGCAAACAACTTTCAAATGGCTTCTCCAGCTGACAAAGGCTAAAGAGCTAATGCTGTAACTAGCAACACTAAATCCTCCAGTCCACTAGAGGGCGCAAACACAAACACTGTTTTTTCTCTCAAGGTAAAATCAATTCAATTCAATTCAATTCAGCTTTATTTGTATAGCGCTTTACAATGTAGATTGTGTCAAAGCAGCTTCACATAAATGGTCATAGTAACTGGAACAGTGTGGTTCAGGTTTTAGTGTTTAAGTTCAGTTCAGTTTAGCTCAGTTCAGTGTGATTTAATCATTACTGAGAGTTCAAACACTGAAGAGCCAATTCATCACAAACTCTGATCTCTCTATTAATTATCATATATTAGGAAACTATACAAAAAAAAAAGATTTTAGTCTCAATAACTATAAAGATAATGATAAAGACGTTGCTGTTAAACAGCAGCAGAGTTCAGACCACTGTATAGCACCAGACCAGCTGTAATGATCAAGAACTATTTCTTTAAACTTAATTTGGGAATAATTCATTGATATTTGCACCTGAAATTGTCTTATTACTTTACCTATATATTTATATAGCAGTTCTTTGATTTAGTTTAATACAGTGCACCTTTTCTGTTATTGTTTCTGTTTTATGCAAATAGAAATATGATACATGATGGAAAACATGTACAGTACATTATTCATATTTGTATTTCATATCAAATACATGACAAATACAGTACAACATATATTTCTAAATATTGCAAGATGACACTTACATAATATATCTATACATACATATTTGAAAAATATATATGTAAACATTTTTACATTTTTTTTTCAATATTTCAAAATATGTCATATATTTGGTCATACATGCAACATTAATTCCTTTTCTTGTCAGCTTAGTCCCTTTATTAATCCGGGGTCGCCACAGCGTAATGAACCGCCAACTTATCCAGCAAGTTTTTACACAGCGGATGCCCATCCAGCTGCAACCCATCTCTGGGAAACATCCACACACACATTCACACACACACACACACACACACTACGGACAATTTAGCCTACCCAATTCACCTGCACTGCACGTGTTTGGACTGTGGGGGAAACCGGAGCATCCGGAGGAAACCCACACCAACACAGGGAGAACATGCAAACTCCACACAGAAACACCAACTGAGCCGAGGCTCGAACCAGCGACCTTCTTGCTGTGAGGCGACAGCACTACCTACTGCGCCACTGCCTCACCATATATGCAACATATATCTGAAAATACTGCATATATATATATATATATATATATATATATATATATATACAGCTGAAGTCAGAATTATTCGCCCCCATTCACAGTATGTCTGATTATATTTTTTCTTCTGGAGAAAGTCTGAATTTGCCACTTTGAGCTATATTTGTTCTCGATAGTCTCCAGAACAAACCATCATTATTCAATAACTTGCCTAATTACCCTAACCTGCCTAATTACCCTAGTGAAGCCTTTACATGTCACTTTAAGCTGTATAGAAGTGTCTTGAAGAATATCTAGTCTAATATTATTTACTGTCATCATGACAAAGAGAAAATAAATCAGTTATTAGAGATGAGTTATTAACACTAGCATGATTAGAAATGTGTTGAAGAAATCTGCTCTCTGATAAACAGAAAAATGGGGGAAAAATAAACAAGGGGGCGAATAATTCTCACCTTAACTGTGTGTGTATATATATATATATATTATATTGCCATTATTATAATATTTCTAAATGTATGTTGCCTATATAATGAAATATATATGCACATATATCCAAAAATGAGCTTGTCACGTGTCATATATGTAATTTGCATGTATTTCCCTGTATCAGATTTCTATTAGAGTATACAATTTGCAAAAAAAAAACAGTTTTGAAACAGCAGTTTACTTGACTAAAGCGATTTCAGAAGCGTTTCGAGACCTGGCGAATCTGTGTTTGACTGACGGGGAAAAAAAACCCTGAATAATCTCATGTAGCTTGGTGGGCCGTGCGTGTGCAATAGCTCGAGTTCAAATCCTGATGAATACAAATATTCTGAAATTATGACTTTATGTATTTTATTAATGTTAATATTTTATGACCAAATCAAGACATTTGTATTCATAAAGTGTTCATTTGGATGGAGGGGTGTAGCGGACACTTTAAAAGTGGAGGGGGAAAAGCTGAATGAGATTCAAAATTTGACATTAATTTTATTATTAATCACCTGTTTCTAAATGGTCTGTCTCTAAAAGTGAGGGGGACGAATCTTCCCGTCCCCCACCGGTTGCTTCGCCCCTGTTCTGATGTCAGACCAATGTTAAAACACGTAACAAGAACAGAGCATTTAAAAACTAACATCTACAGCTGCATCACCCTGGATTCAAACCCATTATCTCTGCATGTAACTCTCTCAGCTTCACGAAATCTCTCGAACACTCGACTCTACAACAGCAGGTTTAATACCTTAATTTGCTGTACTGTGTCTTTGCTGAAGCTGTTCCAGAGCAATGCATAAAAATGACCAGTAGAGACGGGTTTTGAAATATTTCGAAGCTTTGAAACATTTGCTTCACCTGTTTGAGTGTTTCACAAAGCCTCGCTTCGCCCAACACCAATGTTTTGTTTCATTGTGTGTGTGTTTGTGTGTAGTTTCTGCAGACTCTGTCTCAGTGGTGCAGTCAGACTCAGTGTCTCGTTCTTCAGAACCTTAAACCACGAGCTCGAGCCAAGAAAGAAAGCAAAGACGAGTACATCCGAAGCACCAGGTAGAGCATATTTAGTTTGATCACGCTGAAAAAAAAAACCGCTTCTGTTTGAGGAACGAGTGTTTAATGAGCTGCCTGTCTTGTGTCTTTGATGAGGGGCGGACTGGAGGCGGGACTGGAGGCGGTGCTAAAGGCAGCAGGGCGGAGTCTGGTGGTTTTGAGCATCTCTAATTGCTCGAATATTTTGACGGACAGGTGTTTGTGGCTCGTCAGCTGTCACTGCCGCTCACTGCAGTCGCTCACATACAGGTGACAGAAACACATATACAATACACACATCGCAGATATTTAAACTTTAGATATTATTCGGAAAATACTGTACGAGTTCTGTTTTACAGATAAAAGAATTACAGTTATTACATTACAAACGTAGCTACAACACAATGAGTCACAAACAATTACATTTAATAATGAAAATCGTATGCAAAAGCTGAGTAAAACATCCATAGTGTAACTTCTTTCATGCGCTTATTGATACTCTTTAATAATTTTATTAAGCTCTTTAATAAATGTTATTATGATGTGTGTTATTTCTGTGGTGTGTTTGTAATGGTTTTGATTGTTTCAGGAGTGCGTCAGATCCAGTGGGTCAGGAGGTGATCTGGGCTCTGGGCGCAGGATGTCGAGACATCACTGCGCTACGAATCGCTCCCATACAGCCGTGGTCAGAATTTATAACATATATATTTATTTCAATGTAGATAAAAAACAATATTGTCTCATTTCCAGATGAGCAGTTGCAGTGCAGTCGAGCAAAAATTCTACAAATAAACCAATGCAATCTAACGCAACGCAATCTCTACAAATAAACCAACGCAATCTAACGCAACGCAATCTCTACAAATAAACCAACGCAATCTAACGCAACGCAATCTCTACAAATAAACCAACGCAATCTAACGCAACGCAATCTCTACACATAAACCAACGCAATCTAACGCAACGCAATTTCTACAAATAAACCAATGCAATCTAACGCAACGCAATCTCTACAAATAAACCAACGCAATCTAACGCAACGCAATCTCTACAAATAAACCAATGCAATCTAACGCAACGCAATCTCTACAAATAAACCAACGCAATCTAACGCAACGCAATCTCTACAAATAAACCAATGCAATCTAACGCAACGCAATTTCTACAAATAAACCAATGCAATCTAACGCAACGCAATCTCTACAAATAAACCAATGCAATCTAACGCAACGCAATCTCTACAAATAAACCAACGCAATCTAACGCAACGTAATATCTACAAATAAAACAATGCAATCTAACGCAACGCAATCTCTACAAACAAACCAACGCAATCTAACGCAACGCAATCTCTACAAATAAACCAACGCAATCTAACGCAACGCAATCTCTACACATAAACCAACGCAATCTAACGCAACGCAATTTCTACAAATAAACCAATGCAATCTAACGCAACGCAATCTCTACAAATAAACCAACGCAATCTAACGCAACGCAATCTCTACAAATAAACCAATGCAATCTAACGCAACGCAATCTCTACAAATAAACCAACGCAATCTAACGCAACACAATCTCTACAAATAAACCAATGCAATCTAACGCAACGCAATTTCTACAAATAAACCAATGCAATCTAACGCAACGCAATCTCTACAAATAAACCAATGCAATCTAACGCAACGCAATCTCTACAAATAAACCAATGCAATCTAACGCAACGCAATCTCTACAAATAAACCAACGCAATCTAACGCAACGCAATCTCTACAAATAAACCAACGCAATCTAACGCAACGCAATCTCTACAAATAAACCAACGCAATCTAACGCAACGCAATCTCTACAAATAAACCAACGCAATCTAACGCAACGCAATTTCTACAAATAAACCAATGCAATCTAACGCAACGCAATCTCTACAAATAAACCAACGCAATCTAACGCAACGTAATATCTACAAATAAAACAATGCAATCTAACGCAACGCAATCTCTACAAATAAACCAACGCAATCTAACACAACGCAATCTCTACAAATAAACCAACACAATCTAACGCAACGCAATCTCTACAAAAAAACCAACGCAATCTAACGCAACGCAATCTCTACAAATAAACCAACGCAATCTAACGCAACGCAATCTCTACAAATAAACCAACGCAATCTAACGCAACGCAATCTCTACAAATAAACCAACGCAATCTAACGCAACGTAATATCTACAAATAAAACAATGCAATCTAACGCAACGCAATCTCTACAAACAAACCAACGCAACCTAACGCAACGCAATCTCTGCAAATAAACCAACGCAACCTAACAGCAATTCGTAACTTTTTGATTTAGTGGCTAATTATATTGTTTGATTTGTATAAAATCTTTTACTTTTAAAATTAACTTGTACAATCTCCTTCATACATTTTACTATCATTTTCTAATCCTCCAATGAGTGGTAGGTTCAGCTGGATCTCGCGATAAAACGTAACCATTTTATGCATTGCAGAAAAGTTACTAATTCGTACACAAATTCACGCAATTTTGTTCTTTTAAAAAAAAAGTAAGATTTTAAAAAGGAGGCGTGGCCCCAAACCACACCCATAAACCCTCCCCTTGTTGGAGGATATGAAAATTATAGTAAAATGTTTGAAAGCAATCGTACGAACTAGTAAAAAATTCTTGTAAATAATTTTTTTGTGCGAACGCACATTGTTATTCTTTAGACTAATAACTAATCAGCCCATATACAGCCGTGTCAGAATATAATCGAACATATATTTATTTAAATGTAGATAAAAACTCTATTGGCAGAACAAAAAAACTTGTTTTGGTAATCTTCAGTCTGGATTGGATTGGCTCCTTCTAAGATGATGTCAGTTCTCCACCCACAATATTCTTAGCCCCACCCGTCTTACCTTTAGTTTTCTGTTGATGCGCAAAATAAAGCCCCACCCCCTACTCTATATTCATTTCCAGTTAAAAGTACATCAACATACTAAATAAATGATTACTTTATGAGCTGCCCGAAATCCTCGTCATTCTAGCAAAAAGCTTTTTTTGCAATATATGAGTATTTTTGCTAATTTTTAGTTAGCGCAAATTTTAAATGATCAAAATATGTTGGGATGTTTCAATTAGGCGTATAGTCAACTTTACTTTGTACAGTTTGAGGGGTAATCGAAGCATGTCTACTGTCACATGACCACTGAAGCCCTGCCTCTGTTCTGTCCAGCCTGCAGCCCAGTCGCTTCAGTAACCGATGCTTGCAGCTGATTGGCCGCTGCTGGCCGAATCTGTGCCGGGTGGGTGTGGGCGGAGCCGGCTGTGGTGTGCAGGGATTGGCTTCTCTGGGTGAGTGACAGGAGTGGTTTGTGAGTTTGTGTTTAATGTTGTGTAGTTAGATTCGCTTGCTAGCCAAGGTAAATTTCAGTTTAGATGGCACTAATCCTGGGATTTAGTACTATGAAGTTATCTAAGCTTTAATCAATCTTTGTTGCCATGGTATTTTGAAAATCTGATAATCTGCTACAGTTCAGGTTATGTTCAGATTATGTTGTAGATATGTTCTGTTTTTGTTCAGATTATGCTCATGTTATGTTCTGGTTATGTTCAGATTACATTCAGTATATGTTCAGATTATGTCCTGGTTATATTCAGTTTATGTTCAGTTTATGTTCAGATAATGTTCAAGCTATGTTCAGATTGTGTTCTGGCTATGTTTAGGCTATGTTTAGTTTACGTTCAGGCTATGTTCAGTTTAGATTCTGGGTATATTCAGGTTATGTTCTGGTTAAATTCAGATTATGATGTATTTATGTTCAGTTTATGTTCTTGTTATGTCAAGATTATATTCAGGCTATGTTCGGCTTATGTTCTGATTATTTTCAGATTATGTTCAGGCTATGTTCGGTTCATGTTCAGGCTATGTTCAGTTTATGTTCTGGTTATATTTAGATTATGTTCTGGTTATATTCAGATTATGTTTTGGCTATGTTCAGTTTATGTTTAGGCTATGTTCAGTTTAGGTTCTGGTTATATTTAGGTTATGTTCTGGTTAAATTCAGATTATGTTGTAGTTATAGTCAGTTTATGTTCTGGTTATGTTAAGATTATATTCGGGCTATGTTCGGCTTAAGTTCTGATAATATTCAGATTATATTCAGGCTATGTTTAGGTGATGTTCTGGTTATATTCAGATTATGTTTTGGCTATGTTCGGTTTATGTTTAGGCTATGTTCAGTTTATGTAAGGCTATGTTCAGGTTATGTTCTGACTGTATTTAGATTATGTTCAGTTTACATTCAGACTATGTTCAATTTAGGTTTTGGTTATATTTAGATTATGTTTAGGCTATGTTTCGTTTATGTACAGGCTATGTTCAGCATATGTGCTGGTTATATTCAGATTATGTTCTGACTTTGTTCAGTTTATGTTTAGGCTATGTTCAGTTTAGGTTCTTGTTATAGTGAGATTATGTTCTGGTTGAATTCAAAATATGTTACAATTATGTAAGGCTATCTTTATCTCATGTTCTGGTTATACACAGATTATGTTTAGGCTATGTTCATTTTATGTAAGGCTATGTTCAGATTATGCTCAGGTTATGTTTAGTTTATGTTTTAGTTATATTTAGATGATGTTTGGTTGTATTTAGATTGTTCAGGCTATGTTCAGTTTATGTTCTAGTTATGTTCAGACTATCTTTTAGTTATATTTAGATTATGTTCTGGTTAAATTTAGATTTTGTTGTAGTTACGTTGAGATTATGTTCATGTTATGTTATAATGATAAAATATTTAGTTAGTTCCTGAACATAACAAGAACATAACCTGAACATAAAGAAAATAATATTAATAAGAACATAATTTGAACATAACCAGAACTTAACTAGAACATAACCTGTTCATAATCTGATCATGATCTGAACATAATCTGAACATAACCAGAACAAAACTGCACTTATTTGGTTTGTAAACCAACATTGTAATTCTGAGTTTGTTAAGCCAGCATCTTGATACAGGCCGCTGGTTCTCCAACACACATGAATGAGTTTGCGAGTGTCTACTTAATGTGTTGTTCTTGTGTGTGCAGTAAGGAACTGTGTGAATCTGTGTGTGCTGGAGCTCCATCATATGAATGAACTGAACCAGGAGGCGGCGCTAGAGATCTGCAGAGACGGCCTTCAGCAGCTACACACACTGGCATTCATCTGCACACCCGTCACCGCTAAAGCTATCCTGCACTTCACAAGTGAGAGACACACAACCCTGCAGCATACACTAATGATCGGTCGAGTTAAAACACTGAAGGAGACTTCCGTTAATAATCATTTAACATTAGTTTTTATATTAGCATGTGCCTTATGATTGGTCACTTCTGTTTTGCATGTATTTATTCATCTACAATGCAGAGACATCATTTAGTGCGTTCTCTCTCTTTTTCTGTGTGTGTGTGTGAGGTGTGTGTCCGAGTCTGAAGTGTGTGGTGGTTCAGTTGTCTATAGCGGATTACTTTGAGGATGCTGAAAATGAAGAGGCCAAGAGATTATTTGAGGAGATCGTCAACAATCTACAGGTCAAACACTGCTGGAGTTCAGATCATTTAGTTGCTTAAGTGTTAAAAGAGTGTAATGAATATTGAATGTGTGTGTGTGTGTGTGTGTGTGTGTGTGTGTGTGTGTGTGTGTGTGTGTGTGTGTGTGTGTGTGTGTGTGTGTGTGTGTTTGTACTCCTGCAGGCGTTGAGAAAGAGACCCGGCCTGTGTGACGTCCTTCAGATCAAAGTGGACAAACCCTGAAAATACACGTTACTGTGACAATCTGATGCACACACACACACACACATGCACAAACAAACACACACACAAACACACATGTACAATTTCACAAAAACACACACAAACTCACAGATGCACACACATATATGCACACACACACACACACACACACACACACACACAATCATCTTCAGACACAAATGCTCACACACACACACACATGCGCAAACACAAATACAAGTGCACAGGTGCACACACACACATAAAAGTGCACACGCGTATGCATGCACACACACACAAACATATGCAAAAACACTGACACTCATGCACAAACAAACACACATGTGCAAACACACACATGAACATACGCATGCATGCACAAACACATGCACGCATACACACACGGACAAACACACAAACACACACTCTGGCACACACACACACATGCACAAATATACACACATGCACAAATGTTAAACACACAGGCACAAACACACACACACACACACACACACAAATGAACAAACACACTCACACACACAAACACAGACACACACACACACACACACACACACACACAAAGGCAAAAACACACTCACACACACAAATGCACAAACACACCCACATACACACTAAGGCACAAACATACTCACACACACACACACACACACACACAAATGCACAAACATACTCACACACACACACACACACACACACAAACACACACATACAAATGCACAAACATACTCACACACACACACACACACACACACACAAAGGCACAAACACACACACACACAAATGCACAAACATACTCACACACACAGACACAGACACACACACACACAGACACACACACACACAAATGCACAAACATACTTACACACACACACACACACACACACACACACACACACACACACACACACACACACACACACACACACAAACACACACATACAAATGCACAAACATACACACACACACACACACACACACACAAACACACACAAAGGCACAAACACACACACACACAAATGCACAAACATACTCACACACACAGACACAGACACACACACACACAGACACACACACACGCAAATGCACAAGAGCACATTATTATGTAAATTCATTCATTTAAACATAAGTAAAGCCAAACACACACACACACACACACACACACACACACACACACACACACACACACACGCTGCACTTTTTGAGAGGTTTGGGTTTTGACAGAGGCACACTTCTCCCACAAACAAACACTCAGGACAGCTTACTTTAACACTACAGTGGCTTTAGGAACAGAACACAATATAGTGTGTGTAGAGCTCTTAGCTGTAGTGGTGTTGTGGCAATAACTAGCAGTAAACTACTGAATCACGTACTGTTCAAACACATGTAAACACACACACACACACACACACACACACAACCGTCTTCCATCGGGTGTCTTCAACAAACTCAAAGATCAGGAATCTGGACTGATTCTGTGTGTGTGTGGAGTGTGTGAACATATCATTAGTGCTACATTCAGACTGTTTATATTTTAACCTCAGCACACATGTGGCTCAATCTATGAGGTGAACTAAAACAAAGCCCTTGCTTATTATTAGCAGCGTCACCAAGATTATAATATCCCACATGAAAAATACTGCAGAAATTCAAAGTACAAACAGCAGAATCACCACAACAGATCCATTACTATAGCTGTTGTGTTATCATAGCACCTGCAGAATCTTCACAACATTACTATAGTTGATGTGTTACCATAGCAATTGTAGAATCACCACAACAGATCAATTACTATAGTCGTTCTGTTACCATAGCAACTGCAGAATCACCACAACATTACTTTAGTTGTTGTGTTACCATAGCAACTGCAGAATCACCACAACAGATTAATTACTGAAGTCGTGTTACCATAGCAACTGTAGAATCACCACAACAGATCAATTTGAGTATTTACATAAATCTCTACAGTATTGTTCATGTGGGAATCTTTGCTCATTAATATAGCAGTAATGAATTGAAAATCTTGCACATTCACAGAAAAAAAGCTTATTTTCTAAACATGTTCAAAATAAAATGGCGTAAGAGAATAGTTCCAGTCTTTCAAGTGAAATTTCACTTCATTCGACCTTTTCCAACAAAAAGGGCCCTATAAAACTCAGCAGATGGAGAGTCATCAGAGTTTGCGGATTAACTTTATTGTGGACCAAAGCTACTTTATTTTGCAAATGATAATCTTCAAAAAATTATTTTAGACAATCCGAATTATGTCTGAGCAAATAAACTGCCACATTAATATATGAACAAGATGTTTTTCATCTTTAAAATCTTCAGAGCACATCAGTGGACTCACTGTGGTATTTACATGTCTTCCTTTTTCTATGGCACAAAAAAGATCAACAAAATCTCGCACTTTTCATCTTCTACTCTTGATTTTTATGTCACTTTAAACGTTTAAAAAAAGAGAGTTATGCCATATATGAATAATGTGTCTGAAATAAATTGTGTTTGTTTTTACGAAGCACATGAGCATTATGAGCTTTATTAATACTCGATGTGTTCATATTTGTTTGCTCATTATTGAAGAGTTGGTCTCACTTTACAGTAATGTATATTTAATAATAACCATTAATAAAAACCAAAAAGAGAGTTTAATCTAACAATAAATGAGTGTATTTTCATTATCAAAGATGATCAATTACTGTCATTGATGTACTGTTCATTGTTTACTTGTGTTAGTAAGTACATGAACTAAAGGGACCTTCATTGTAAAGCGTGACTGAAGTGTCTACATGCAGCTAGTCCTCTGTGTAGTGCTAGTAAAGTGAGTTTAGCACTAAATAAACAAAGGTTGAGATGCTTATTTTGACATATCTGTGTAACTATTACCTCTTTTAACAACAAACATGTATGGTGCATTTTCATGGATGATGTACTTTGTCTAAAAAAGTAGAAGTGCAAAATAAAAATATACAGTACCTGAGTGTTGCCTTTTAATGTATTTTCATTCGGAAACTGCTAGTAAATTCACACAATTAATTGCTTTTTTTTTATTTAAACATGACAATTTAAAACATAAACACTAAAATAGTATGTCACTGAAATCTCTCATGCTCTATAAAATGCTGGGTTGTTTTAACCCAATGTCGGGTCAAATAATGAACAGACAAAATGTCATTTAAATTTACTGATAAAACGTAATTTAAAATTTTGATTTTTCATATTTGACTTAACTTTGTTTTAATATGAAAATACTTTTATTTACAACCAATTTAGCAAAGCTTTATTTTTATATTTGATTGTAATTTTAAGTTCAGACGGTCTAAAACTAATATAGTCTGCTGCCCTCTGGTGGACAAAACGAAATTAAATGAATTAAAAGTGCTCTTACTCGCTTTGAAGCAATCCTGCAGTGTATTTGTTTGTGTCTGTATGTGAGTGTAAAAATATCCTGCTGTCGTGTTATAAAAATAGACAAATCAAACATGACATTTTCCTCTGTGTATGACCCACTTTTACAGTCCGTCAGTCGGCATTAAAGGGACAGTTCACCTCAAAATGAAAATGTACTCATTATTTACTCTCCCTCAAGGGGTTACAGACCTCTATGCGTTTCGTTCTTCTGTTAAACAAAAAAGAAGATACTGTGAAGTATGCTGAAAATTACTATAGTTGTTGTGTTACCATAACATTTGTAGAATCACCACAACAGAATAATTACTATCGTTGTTGTGTTACCATAGCAACTGCAGAATCACCACAACAGATTAATTACTTTCGTTGTGTTAACATAGCAGATTAATTACTATAGTTGTTGCGTTACCATAGCAACTGTACAATTAATTCAACAGATTAATTACTATCGTTGTTGTTACCATAGCAACTGGAGAATTCTCACAACAGATTAATTACTATCGTTGTGTTACCATAGCGACTGCAGAATCACCACAACAGATTGATTACTATCGTTGTCTTTGTACCATAGCAACCGCAGAATCACCACAACAGATTAATTATTATAGTTGTTGCATTACCATAGCAACTGTAGAATCTCCTCAAAAGATTAATTTGTATAGTTTTTGTTACCATAGCAACTGCAGAATCACCACAACATATTAATTATTATAGTTATTGCATTACCATAGCAACTGCAGAATCTCCAAAACAGATTAATTACTATCGTTGTGTTACCATAGCAACTGTAGAATCTCCAAAACAGATTAATTATTATAGTTGTTGCATTACCATAGCAACTGTAGAATCTCCACAACAGATTAATTACTATCGTTGTGTTACCATAGCAACTGCAGAATCACCACAACAGATTAATTACTATCGTTGTGTTACCATAGCAACTGCAGAATCACCACAACAGATTAATTATTACTATAGCTGTTGTATTACTATAGCAACTATAAAATCACCTCAACAGATTAATTTAAGTACTTTACTATAGTGTGGTTTAAAAACACTAAAGTATTTACTATAAATTACTGTGGTGTTTTTTCACGTTATCTCTGCTCATTATCATAAAGATATTTCTAAATGTTCTCTGTTAAACACAAAAAGAAGATATTTTGAAGTATGCTGAAAATCTGTAGCATTGCCTTTCATACTATGTGTTTTTTCTATTGCAGTTCATATAAAGTTTTTTATCTTATTTCTTGTCCACGTAACTACAAATGCTTAAATCAAGAAGCTTTTCCTCAGTCAAGCAAAACATGTTTTAGAAATAATGAGTCAAAATTTAATGAGTTTTTCATTAAAACAAGTAAAATAATGACGTTTTTCCTCTCGGTTGAAGATTATTTTGATTTCCACATGGTACTAGAAACAAGACGAAAACATTTTTGCTGTAAATCAATATTACATAATGATGACCTTATAAATCTACTTTGAGCTTATATATATTTTTGTGTGTTTATGCAATAGCTTAATTCATATAAACTCATTCACCTTTTGCTTGTTTATTATTATTATCGCTGTTGTCATTTGCCATTTTGTTATTATTTTGTAAGACCTATAACGGGTTCATCTCCCTTCTATAAGTTTTAAAACTGATTTAACGATTTAAAAAGTGTACTCGATCAGTCACTCTTTTGAGTTTATTTTCGTTGTATTATTGTCGCTGTTGTCATTTAGTCTTTTTCCTCTATCTTATTATCACTCTTGTAGGAGATGTAACGACGTTTGACCTTCCTGTTCTTGAAGCAAAGTTTTGGCAAAAAAATACGCTCGTGAACGCGCGCGCGCACACAGAGGTGAAAAAACTGCGCGCTCCCGACTACTGCCCGGTTACAGCGTGGCGCGCGCCTAAAAACCGCACTCGTGTAGGGGCGGATCGGGTTTTTTTTTTTGACACAAGCAGCCTCCGTGGAATTACGATTTGTCCAGGATCGGTGCAGAATTTAAGTGTCCTTCATCTCCTCCAGCAGATCCATCTTGAAAATCTGCAGTTTGTACGCGAGGTTTGACGCGCGGAGTGAACGCCGGGTGCTGCGCTGCTTTTGTGTGGATGTAAATGATGCTGCGTGCCCGGTAAACGCGGCGTGTCCGTACGCGCCGATGACAATAGACGAACGCGCACGGTAAAGAAGAGAAGCGAACGGGAAGAACAGTGATCATGTCTCTGAGCAGGAGCATCGAGCTCGAGCACTTTGACGAACGAGACCGGCACCGCTCGAAGCGTGCGGCGGGCGCGGGCGGTGCGGGCGGCGCAGGCTCCCAGCAGGGCTCCCGGGCGAGCAGTCTGGTGCCCAGCCCCGCACACAGCGCCAACTGCAGCTTCTACCGCACCCGCACGCTCCAGGCGCTCAGCTCCGAGAAGAGGGCCAAGAAGGTTCGGTTCTACCGGAATGGAGACCGCTATTTCAAGGGTCTGGTGTACGCGGTGTCCAGCGACCGCTTCAGGTCTATGGACGCACTGCTGGCCGAGCTGACGCGCGCGCTCGCCGACAACCTGCACCTGCCGCAAGGTGTGCGCAACATCTACACCGCGGACGGCGCCAAGAAGATCAGCAGTCTGGAGGAGCTCGCCGAAGGTCAGACCACTGCACTTACAGTTACTAATACAGTATTATAATGAGACAGCACTGTAAGATGATGTATAGGCTATCTAGGTGTCTTACAAAAGTTAGTGAGTGATACAGAACGTGCATTCATCCATTCATATTCCTTCGGTTTAGTCGCTGATTTATCAGGGGTCGCCACAGCGGAATGAACCGCCATCAGAACGTACTTAAAAAAATGAAATAAAACGGATGCCTTGTGTAGCATATGGAACTTCCCAAGAATAATGATGGACTTTAAAGCATTATCGAGTGTCAGTTTTACAGTTCAATAACTAATAACGTATTCATCTGAGTTAATTATTTTGAGAAATGAATGTAAAGTCAGACTCCGTCAGTGCTGCGGCGATCAGCGGACAGACTCTCAGAAACAAAGGTACAAAAGCTGTCAATGGGCGGTACCTTTACAAAAGACACACTGCTGGAGCTAAACGGTTCATATTAAAACATTAAAGGTATGTTAGCAGCTAAAGCACAGACGTGTGATTCTTGAAATGTGTAGGTGTTACAGACAGTGAGTGACTGACCGCTTTTGTGCCGTTATTTCTAAGAGTGTTGAGCGGTTGGAGCAGGAGAGTCAGCTCTAACGGTCAGTTTGGGTTCAAATAAGCACTCTAAAATGCTCAATTGTTTTAAATCAGCCGTTTGGTTCAAACATGGACAAAGCCAACCGTTGAGTTTAAGAGTGTAATTCAAAATGAACTGTCGTTGACTGATTTTTTTTCTGTTACATTTAAATGTTATTTTAAACACAAACGGTTGGGTTTACAAAGTTGCGTTAAAATAACCCAGCGTATTATCAGTGTAATAATTAAAATAATATGCGACATTATTTATTTATATGATAAATGACATTATTTTACAGATTTGTTTTTGCACAGATAGGTTACATTTAAACATATATTATTATTTTTAGGAATTATTAATGTTTCATTAAAGCAGACATTATTTAAAATATACATATACCTGAATAACACACTATAATAATGCAGGGTTATTTCAACCCAAATTGGAAAAATATGATTTATTTGTATGTATAAGTAAATATGTTTTATGTTGGTATATGGGAGATGTTTAAAAGTGTCATTTAATTATTCAATTTAATTATTTCAGTTAAATTAAATTTAACTGAAAAAATGAACTCAATGATTGCCCATTTTTAACCCAACATTGTATTAAAACAACCCAGTATTTGTTAGAATTGACTTTATTTGTTACATACATAAGTCTAGGCTATCACCAACATGTTTCTGTTTTATATACTCCGAAAATGCTGGGTTGTTTTAACCCAATTTGAGCCAATATTAGGTTGAGTTGTTTTCAGCTCATTTTTAATGACACTTCTTTTAAACTCAACTGTTGGCTTTTTCCATATTTGACCAATAGATTGAAACAGCCCATCATTTTTTTAACTTACTTTGTCACATTAGTTATATATATACAGTATATTAATTACATGTGAAGTATCACCAACAGATTTTGTATTACATACTGAAAAATCCTGGGTTGTTTTAACCTATGCAATGTCAGGTGAGTTAATTTTGTCAGTTAAATTTAAATGACCCTGTTAAACCCAACAGTTGGCTTTATCAATATTTGACCCAACATTGGCTTAAAACAACCCAGTATTTTTTACAGTGTACATTTAAAACAATACATTATTTAAATGTAGAGTATTTAAAATAATCTGACATTAGTTTACAGATTTCTGCACAGAGAGATTAAATTTAAACATAATATTGTCATATTTTACCATCCAGGGTTTCTTCTTGTTTTTAAGCCTAAATTATAGACCTGATAAACCAAATCTTTCATTTTTAATTATTATTTCTGAGGTAAATGGCATTCTTATTTAATTCCTTTAATGTGCATTCTACACTTTAAAAATGCAGGATTTATTTTAATCTAATTGTGGGTCAAATATAGATAAAAACAACTGCTGGGTTAATTTGAACTAAATGTACAAAACCAAATGCAACTCAAAGTTTGTCCATATTTTATTTATTTTGGGTTGAAATAAGCCAGAATTTTAGAGTGCACTGTGTAAATGCTGGATTCCACACAATTCCTTCATGTTGTCCCAACACAAGTATATTAAGTTAGCTTAATCATTTTTACAAATATATGTGGATTGAACATGAAACAATTAAGTTGTCCCCCTAAAAACTTAAAAATGTGTTGTTTCAAATCCTTTTTAATAAGTAAATTATTATATATTATTTTGAGTTTACATTCTATCTTAATTATTATAGGCTGTTGATTTTATTTCTTTATATTTTATTGTTCTACAAATAATAGAGTACACATTTAAAATAAAAAGACCCATGGTAAGAATAACAGCACAGTTATATCAAACTCAAGTTAACATCTCTGTTCAATCATTTAACAGCAGTCAACAAAAAGGAGCTCTTATACCTCTTCGATGAGCACATAAAAAACGTAATAATAATAATAATAATCTCCCGTAAAATTCTGCTGTAAACTGTGTGTGTCATCAGAAACACTTATCTTAGTTGCCTTCCCATAAGCTTCCTCTGTGGAAAGTCATGCAGGAGCAGCTGCTGCACTCTGAGCCTTTGTCTGCTGTTCTTAAAGCAGTTGATCACTGAGACAGGTCAGTACCGCAGTGTACACAACATTAGGCTGATTACTGCTCCACGGCTTCATATTGACCAGTTTAAACCAGTTAATGACCAGCTGAAGATGCATTTCAGCACTCAAGCTCATCAACAATGCACACAGATCACAGAAGACACAAGCGAATGTTACGTGCAGGTAATTATGTGGATATACTGTATGAGCATTTTGTGGAAGCATAACATACATATTGGTACTAGTTTGCATAATTTGCTTAGTTTGCAACACATGTTTGCATTATAAATGATTATGTCAGTGCATCAATATATATATATATATGTACTTGTGTTCAAAATGACTAAACTTTAAATCCTTTTTGCTTCTTGTTCAAAGAACTTAATCAAAACGAGCTGAATCAAAACAATTCTTGATCATTTTGTGGGACAACTCAATTGTTTTATGTTCAATCCACTTAAATTGGTGAAAACAATTAAGTTAACTTGAATAATTTAATAATCTGGGGGGAATCTCCTCATCCAGCACCAGTGTGAAGCATCCACCTGTATGAGGCGACGGCAGCCATATAGCACCAGACCGCACACCACACACCAGCTGATTGGTGGAGAGGAGCCAATCATGATATGGGGAGGGTTGGGAGGCCATGATGGACAGAGGCCAGTGGGCAGATTTGGCCAGGATGCCGGGGTTAAACCCCTACTGTTTTACCAAGGACATCCTGGGATTATTAAGAGCACAGAGAGTCAGGACCTCAGTTTAACGTCCCATCTGAAAGACGGCGTTCACTGAGCAGTATTGACCTTAATCTAAAGTGCGGCTGTTTTCGCGGTTGTTTTAGAACTTCCAATTCAGTCGCCTATGGGAGAAATGACTAGGAATAATAAATAGCAGAAAACGGTCAAACTACTTGCTCTACAAATGTTTGCATGTCTATACAGACCAAGTAGAATAATATAGTATAATAAGACAATATCAGTTTGCAACATCAAGCAGCGTAACAAGCAGTTTCTAACGTCTAAAAATGAATGGAAGTGAATGAGAGCGGAAGTCTCGAGCCAAAAAGATTCAAATGTTGCGCCCGCTCGTCGACAACGAATACGGTGAATATAGGCCCTTATCAATATACTGGGGCATTAGGACCCCCACAGACAATGCCATGATTTAGCAATATTACAAATATTTAAAGGCAAATTAAATGTACACACAATTAATAGAGAATAATTATTAAAATAAATAATATTTAAAATAATATGCGACATTATTTATTTAAAATGATAAATGACATTGTTTTACAGATTTGTTTGCACAGATAGGTTACATTTAAACATATATTATATTATTATTATGAATTATTAATGTTTCATTAAAGCAGACATTATTTAAAATAAACAAATACAGTATATACCTGAATAACACTATAATAATGCAGGGTTATTTCATAAATTATTTCATAAAAAATAAATTATTTTTTCGGGGTTTTCACCTTTATTTTTGATAGGACAGTATAGATAATTGACAGGAACGCATGGGGAGCAGAGAAAGGGGAAGGATCGGCATAGGACCGCGAGGCGGAATCGAACCCGCAAGCACCGGAGTGCATGTGTCGATGCACTAACCACTACACCACTAGCGCCAACATTTATTTGTTATTAAATAACAATCTTTAATGAACATTGTCTCTGTAAGTACCATTACGTTTTTTTAAAAGCACCTGATAATAAAATGACAGAATATAACATCATATAGAACAATGCATTGTTTATAGCTTACATGATGCCACAAAATGTTATAAAGAAGAAATGTCATAGTCTTGTTTTGTGCAAAACTGTGACCCTATTGCTACTATTTTATGCATTTTAAAATATATTTATAGGCACTATTTGCGCAGTAGGTGTCACTGTCGCCTCACAGCAAGAAGGTCGCTGGTTCGAGCCTCGGTTCAGTTAGCGTTTCAGGTGGAGTTTGCATGTTCTCCCTGCGTTCGCGTGGGTTTTCTCCGGGTGCTCCGGTTTCCCCCAAAGTCCAAACACATGCAGTACAGCTGAATTGGGGAGGCTAAATTGTCCGTAGTGAATGAGTGTGTGTGTGTGGATGTTTCGCAGAGATGGCATCTCCTGCGTAAATACTTGCTGGATAAGTTGGCGGGTCATTCCGCTGTGGCGACCCCGGATTAATAAAGGGACTAAGCCGACAAGACAATGAATGAATGAATGCTTTGAAAATAATACAATTTTGTGGACAACTGTCATGTACGTGGATGAAAAAACAAATGGTACTTGTGTTTTCCATGAAAATGACTAAAAGTAGTGTGTGTGTGTGTGTGTCAGCAGTGTGTGAATATCTCCAGCAACCTCTAATGCTCAACATGTATTAATCAGACTTGATCAAAACAGTCTGCAGAAACACTGTGATTGACATTCTCCCTTTATACGTGTCATCAGAGGGGGAAAGCCCCGCCCACTAGTGCCCATCTCTCCATCTCATTAGCATAAACAGCAGCCCTGAGTGAGAAGCAGCCGTCTGTCCATTAGCCATTAGAGTGTTTGAGCTGCTGAAGATGACGTCAGCTAAAGGAACTGATATTGTGCTCTGTATAAAATGTGAGTGATGTTAATGAGAATGGCCGGAGTGAGTCTGAGTGAGTGTGTGTGTGTGTGTGTGTGTGTGTGTTCAGTGGAGTGTGTAAAAGCGCATCTGCTGAATGAACAAATGTAAAAGTGAAGTGACGTTCAGGTCTGATTGATCTGAAGCTCATCTAATGCCGGCACGCGATCAATATTATCAAGCCCTACAGCTCCTGTTCACTTAACGGCAGATAATCTGCATGATCTGCTGATGTGGGCTGATCTGGAGTCAGTTCAGGACAACAGAAAGCACTGAGCCACAGATTCTGAGTGTGAAATAACAGAGTACGGCCTTTCATGTTTGGTTGTATTTGTTTTATAATTGAGTTACACATTCAGCTGGTTTTATTACACGGCTCTCTCTAATGCTTGATTCTGATTGATGAATATGCAGGATATTTCCTGAAAACAACTGATTAAAGTAATAACACAGACTAATATAAATATATGGGAATGATTTCTCTTTTGCATGAATATATCCTCCAGGATGCTTTACAGTAATGTATCTGTGCAGTTTAGTCAGTACTGAAGACAAAACTAAAATTAATCTAACAAAAAAACTGAAGATCACAGTCCAGTAGTTTTATACCCACATTCCAGCTGCAACTTATCACTGGGAAACACCCATACACACTTGCATTCACACACATACACTACGGACAATTTAGCCTACCCAATGGGGATAAAATAAATAAAATAGCTACATTGTAGCTACACCGTAAAGGACTAATAACTACACCGTGAAGGACTTGATAACGCTGCCCTAAAGGACTGATAGCCCCGCCCCACAGGACTGATAGCCCCGCCCCACAGGACTGATAGCTCCGCCCCACAGGACTGATAGCTCTGCCTTAAAGGACTGATAGTGCTGCTCCAAATAACTGATAGGTCTGTCCCAAATGACTGGTAGCTCCACCCTAAAAGACTGATAGCTCTACCCCAAATGACTGGTAGCTCCACCCTAAAGGACTGATAGCACCGCCCAAAAGGACTGACTGCCCTGCCCCAAATGACTGATAAGTCCGTCCCAAATGACTGGTAGTTCCGCCCTAAAGGACTGATAGCTCCACCCCAAATGACTGATAGCCCCATCTTATAAGACTGATAGCCACACCCTAAAAGACCCCCGCCCCCAAATGACTGGTAGCCCCATGCTAAGGGACTGATAGCCCCAGCCTAAAAGACTGATTGTGCCGCCTCAAATGACTGATAGCCCCATCCTACAAGACTGATAACCCCGCCCTAAAAAACTGATAGCCCCGCCCCCAAATGACTGCTAGCCCCATCCTAAAGGACCGATAGCCCCGCCCTAAAAGACTGATAGTGCCGCCTCAAATGACTGATAGCCCCATCCTACAAGACTGATAGCCCCGCCCTAAAAGACTGATAGCCCCGCCCCCAAATGACTGGTAGCCCCACCCTAAAGGACTGATTGCCCCGCCCTAAAAGACTGATAGCCCCGCCCCCAAATGACTGGTAGCCCCATCCTAAAGGACCGATAGCCCCGCCCTAAAAGACTGATAGCGCCGCCTCGATTGACTGATAGCCCCATCCTACAAGACTGATTGCCACAGCCTAAAATACTAATATCCCCGCCCCTAAATGACTGACAGCTCCGCCCTAAAGGTATTCCATGTGACCAGAAGTGTAAAAAGCAATTTCGAAGGCAGATTAATTTGTACTAAATAACGAAGTGCGCAGATACACAGCGTTTATAACAAGCACTGCTATAAACATCCGAAGAAATGTAGAAATAAAAACAACAAGGGTACATTTTAATTTCATGGTGGCTTAAAATAGAACAATTATCTAAAGTGTTTGGTCATTTTAGAGCGAGATGCTAATGGTCTAATCCGATTCAATGATCTATGCTAAGCTAAGCTAGAAGTGCTTCCGCCAGACCCGAAAATCAGCTGAATTTATAAAGAAATAGCAAAACTCAGCTGTTTAACTCTAAAGGAGCTGTAAAATGATCCTATTTCCCAAAAAAGTGTGTTTAAGGATCAGCTGATGTGTTTGCTACACATCTGGAGCCTCTGACCTGGAGTAACCTCACGGTAAATCAGCAGAAACGCAGATTATAGATGTGCTGTGAGCTCCTGGATTACAGCATTACAGGTCAGATGCGTTCGCACCTATTGCGCATTGATCTGACGTGACCCCTGAGGTCGTTTCCATGACAACAGGGTCAGTCAGACGCATGGATGAACCTGCAGTTACTCAATCTCAGCTCCAGCATTTTCAATGGGATAAGCTATAGTGGAATGGTTGGAAATGTTGCTGATCTATAATCATGCAGCCGTCATAGACGCACATAATAATAATTAGGGAACATCCTAATTACCATAAAGCTGACCTCAAACAGGGTTTCCAAAGTTGGTAATAATAGTGTCACATTTAATTTAAAGGTACAATTCTTGCTCTTAATAATCCGTTAACTGTTCCTTTTGCCTCAATAAACTGTAATTCACTGTTTATTAATAGTTATTGAGGCAGTAGTTGTGTCGGATTAGGGATGTGGAATGAGATCATGTTGATTATGTGCTTTATAAGTGCTAATAAATAGCCAATATCTTATAGGCCCAAACCCAGTTCTACTCCTCAGCTCTTCCCCTGTGTAAAACATAAAGGCGTTCGTGTTTTACGGTCATGCTTTTTAAAAAAGCATGTTAGACAAGAGAATCTGTCCTTTACCGAAACTGTGATAAATAATTAAACACAGTTAGTTCACTTTTAAATAATTCATTCAAATTAAGGCACAGAATCATTAAACTAAAGAGTTACCAAAATTGTAATTAAAAATTTAACACTGTTTTTGTAAGCTTACAAATAATTAATAACAATTGAAGCAAAGAATCATGTGAAATTAATTTTAAAAATAAGTGAAGGAAAAAATAATTATTTAAAATAGAACAAAGTTAAACGAGACTATTCATAAAACATAAGATTAAATAAAAGATTACACATATATTTTAAAATACTCAAAAAACATTTATTGTACACTAAAATATAAAAAGGTAATGTCAAAATATTAATATAATATTTTATTATTTAATTGTATTATATATTTTATTATATATAATATTAATATTAATAATAAAATGAAGGAAACAAAAATTTGACATTTAAATGATTTTAAAACAAATTAAGAATAAGTAAAATTATAAAAAATATTTTTTTTAAACTCACTTAAAAGATGAAATATTTTAATTATCCTCAATTTTATTGTTGAAATATTTCATATTAATTTTCTTACACTGGAAAACAGTGAATGTGAATTCTTTAAATAATTTCAGTTTTTAATTTTATATATATATATTTGTTTTTTCACGTGTAAAGGATTTTTTGCACATCAAGGGTCCAAATCAAAAATACAACTAAAAATTCACTTAATTTAAATAAAGTAAATTTTCATTTAATTTTAGTTTTTTAAATAAAACAGAATTAATTAAAATTAATTAAATTAGACATTATTTGGTTGAGATATAATTGAAAATATTAGAATCTGAGGGTCCAGAAAAATCTAAAAATTGAGAAAATTGCCTTTAAAGTTGTCTACATTAAGCTTTTAGCAAAGCACTGATCAAAATGAAGTTTTGATATATTTAAGGAAGGAAATTTACAAAAATGTCTTCATGGAACATGATATTTCCTAAATAGTCAAATGATATAAAAGTAAAATCTACCATTTTGACTTGTACAATGTTTATTTTGGCTATTCTTAAAAAATATGTCCATGCAAATCAAGACTTGTGGTTTTGCGGTTCAGGGTCACATTTCATTATCATGTAACTTAAAGTAAGATTTCATATGTTATAAAATTAACTTTATTTGACTGAATATCACAAAACTCTTCAGAAATTATAGAAAAATTCTGATTTGGTGTTTAAATATTGACAAATAATATTGGTACTAATATGTATATATATATGTAAATAAAAGCAGTTTATAATTGTTTTAAAGTCATTTTAATGTCAATATTATCAGCCCCTTCAGCAATATTAGTGTTGGATTGTCTCCAGAACAAACCACTGTTATACAATGACTTGCCTAATTACCCTAACTTTACCCTAATTACCCTAGTGAAGCCTTTACATGTCACTTTAAGCTGAACACTAGTGTCTTGAAGAATATCTAGTCTAATATTATGAGCTGTCATCATGATGAAGAGAAAATAAATCAGTTATTAGAGATGAGTTATTAACACTATTATGATTAGAAATGTTGAGGAAATCTGCTCTCCGTTAAACAGAAATGGAATTTAAATTCTGTATATATAAATTAAAGTGTGTCTGATTCTCTGCTTTCTTCCCTCGCAGGTGAGAGTTATGTGTGCGCCTCCAACGAGCCCTACAGGAAAGTGGACTACACGAAGAACGTGAACCCTAACTGGGGCTCCAGGATGGCGGGGGCGGGGTCTGTGGTGGCAGCGGGGCCTGTGGGCGGGGCCGTGCGTCCGACAGTTCAGCGTATTGTGGGGGAATCGCGGGAGTCTAAAGACTTTATCAAACCCAAGCTGGTGACGGTGATCCGCAGCGGCGTCAAGCCCAGGAAGGCGGTGCGGATCCTGCTTAATAAGAAGACGGCGCACTCCTTTGAGCAGGTGCTAGCAGACATCACAGAGGCCATCAAGCTGGATTCGGGAGTGGTGAAACGGCTGTACACACTCGACGGCAAACAGGTAAATCAAGCAGCACTAGAGTCCATCATCTGCAGCTGGATTTAACATTAACCCCATTAACTGTCAGCTGAAAATGATGTGTTCAGCTTAAATCTATGTCAATCTTCAATGCTGTGGTCCATAATATAGCAGCAGTGTTATGTTTGGATTGTTATAATATATTGGATTGGATTTATGTTGCATTAATATATACCTCTGAATTAGGCTTGGGCGGTATTACGGTACTATGGTATATCGCGGGATCTAAAAATAGCAACGGTGTCAGTTTCAATACCGTTATACCATCATAAAACCAATGCACTTAAATAGGAGACAAGTATTAAATAATAAATATGATTTATTTAATGCCTACAAATGTGTATGTGTGAAGACAAGACAAGTGTGGAGGAGAGAGAGAGAGAGAGAAGTGAGGTAATGTGGCGAGTCGCGCACCAAGTGACCTGCTCTCGAAAAAGAACGCAACCTCTGCAGTTTGGCAGTATTTTGGGCTTCGACTGAACGAGAGGGGAGACGTGGTAAATACAAACTAGAGGTCTGCATTTCCGCTGCTGTACCAGATTTCTAGCGGTGGGGGAATAAATTTCAGAATAAAGTGCGGGAGCGGTCTGTAACTCTGGTGTAATATGAGCAGGAGCGGGCGCGCGGTCTAACAATATCGCTCCCGAGCACACACGCATCTGCTGATGCTGTTTATGTGTGTGTGTGTGTGTGTGTGTGAATGAGAGAGAGAGCGTGATGCTGTGTGTTGCTTGGTGCTCTCTCTCTCTCTTTGTGTGTGTGTGTGTGTGTGTAAATGAGAGAAATGAGAGCGTCCTGCACAGATCTCTAATAGGAACAAGACAAACAGGTGACCGTGAATCTAAGGTCGCATACACGCTATTCAGTTTTTCTATTATTTTATAATGATTTTATGCAGAAATTCAAATGCTTATCAGACAAGTAATTAATAAAGTCATTAAAACTGCTAAGTTTGGTCATGTAATATATATATATATATATATATATATATCATCCATATTTCAGCTTCATTTCAGTTTACAGATGATTTGTGGTATTTTTAGTGTTGACTGTTTCACACTGCAGCAGGAGCGATTGTGTGAAAACTCATAGATGATTAAATATTTCAGGGACTCGTTCAGCCAGAAATGATCAATCTGACATCAATTACTCAACATGTCTGATCATCTTTCTTCTTTAGAAATATAAAATAAAAAATAAAAACTTTAAAGGTAAAAATTTTTTTGTTAATTATTAAAATTTATTTAGTTTTTTTTTTTAATTAAAAAAGTAAAACTCTCTAAACTTTGATTAGACTTTAAAACCTGACGATTACATGAACTTCAACAAACAAGTCTTCACTTGAAGGACACTATTATAAACACGAGCCTCGTCTTAGGCTGGTCATTTGGGCCGGACCAAGGGTGATAAATGATGCATTGTAGCATCTTTGGGTCGTTTTCACACCACACTGCTGGCTTTGGTCCGAACCAGTTGAAAAGAACCAAAATGCAGTCATGTGACAAAATCCACATCTCTCATTGGCCAGATGTTATTGAGCGTATATCCTAAACGGCTTTTCGATTGGTCAGAATTCACGTACTGGAAAATGCCAATGAACTCCTGCAAATAACCCGGCAGACACACCATGTGGCTTTTTTCTAAGGAGCCACGACTGCGCTGCTGATGTATCCCTGCTCATAGTAGACTATATAGATCAGCTGGAAAACAGTGTTTAATGTATCGCTCGTCACTTCAGGAGGAGGCGTGAGTTCATTTAGCTAAACTGTGACATGGTCATGTTGCAGAAATATTACCAACAATCCATCAGCTAATGCCCCCTCCCCTCTCTCTCTGTTGGTAAAGCGCTGTCAACAAATATTTTTCCTCCATATCCCATAATGCACAGCGCATCGGCACATGGCTGCTGGATTAGACCAAAAGGCGCAGTACTTCTAGCGGTTGGACCTGTTTTAGTTCGGATCATATTCTCACCACAAACGAACCGCTCCAGGGTTCATTTAAAAGCGTAGCGAGACCACCTCTGCAAGCAGGTCTCGGTACGCTTATTTGGTCCACATTTGGTGCGCACTCGAGTACAATTGCTGCATTCTCACCTGCCCAAACCAACCGCACGAAAAGGGGAAACCAACTCTAGTGCCATTCAATCAAACTAAATAAGGCATGTGTGAAAACACCCTTAAAGGTAAAGGTGGAGGTGTTGACAAAAAATCTACACTACCTGAGTTTTGTCGCCTTTTCAAGTTTTAGGAACAGCAAATAATAAGTTGACTTCTAGTTAATGATTTGGTCTCAGAAGTGTCTCTATGAAAGCCTCTAGACCAGGGGTTTTCAAACTGGGGGCCGCAGCCCCCCAGATGGCGCTAGGGGGGCCGCAAAAATATTTAGATAAGAGGTAATCAATGAGCCCACATGGTTAAATTTTGTGTCCCGCATCATTCTGAAGGTTAATATATTTTTTATAATAATTTGAGCTCAAAAGTACTGCAAAAATTAAGCTTTATGCTTATGTCATTTAAATGCAGTTGACACTTTCGTGAAACAGGAAAAGAAGCGCAGCGGCCCGCCTCCGTGGACGGGGACTTTTATTGAATAAGCGCTTCTGGCCGGGCACTTCCTGTGATTTTTGGCGCTTGTCTGCTGACCTGACGGCGTTTACCTTTCACTTACGCTTACCTCTTTTACGCTAAACAACTAAATGAATGCTCAGGTCTATTTACTGACAATATTTCAGTTAAAATACATGATCAATAAGAACATTATAGGAGGCTGGAAGCACTTCCCTGTTTATGGCTTGCGTTTCTAAGTAAGCGATCAGCTGGGTGCTGCGGAGCGCGCGCCTCTCTGCGCAGGCTTCACTCATAAGGAACAAATAGCATTTTAAAGACACGGCACAACATTGCACCTCGTCCAAAGTGCGACAGGCTTTACACTTTGCATTGTACAAATATCAGACGGTCCTCTTTGCAGCATGGCAAACAAACATATTAAAATTGTAAAGCAAAAAGTGCTGCAATAACAATGAATGGAGCTGTCATCACATCAGCGAGTTCTCAGTTTCACTCCTGTTACACTAATGACAGCTGGATGAGCTCTGCAGGTGATTAAAAAAACTAAATTGTATACACACTGAGTAAAACCACTATAGTCTAAAAATTATAATGTATCTATTTGTGTTATGTTATAGAGCTAATTAATTATTAAAAATTAAAATGTATTAGTGCTCTGTATTTAATGGAGCTCAACATATCTGATCAAATTTTAATACTCTGAATATAAATGCATTTTTTTCAAGATGTTCCACTTTTTCCCATTTTTATTTGTGTAACTAATTTAAATGTAATGTTCAGTATTATTAATAGAACACACTGGTATGAACATTTTAAAGTCAGCAAAGCTTCTAAAATTAAGCAAAGTAAAATTTGTGGCTTTTTGAACTTGAATACCCAATTCTAGATTGCATTTAGGAAATTATTTTTTATCAGTGTAAGTCAGGATTGTCGACCTGAGTAAATTATGATGTGCACAAAAAAAGGAATAAAAATAAACAAAACACACTGAACCACTACAGCCTCCATTGTAGTATTGCTAGTTACAACAGTACAGTTAACTGTTAACAGGCTGATGAATGACAAAACTCTTTAAAACTTTAAAGCTTTAAATCTTTAGATACATTTAGACTCTCAGCTGTAAGGGTAAATACAGAAGAGTCTAGCTGTGCATAGGCAGAAAAAAGCATAAAAATGGCATAAAAAACTGTGTAAACATGATGACTCGAACACAAAATATGGCTTGATGGAATCCAGTGAGAGCAGACCACAATGAACACTGCGCATAAAGATTTGATCAATAGATTGAAGCACTGAAACCATGTCAACTCAACTAACATCTTACAAAAACTAATCCAGATAATGAATAATATAAATTTATTGAATAATATATAATAATATAAATGTATTGAATAATACAATTTAAAAAAATTAAGT